CCACCTCCACGTGGAGAACCAGATCATCGCGCCGCGTGAAAAGGACAGACAGATTCGAACGGTGGAATCGGCGAGGAAAGGAAGAAAGGAACGGAGAAATGCGTGGAGAGAGGAAAGGCAACGCACGGAACACGTACAGAAGTAAGTTGGGGGAGACAGGGGGCGAGGGGGAGGAAAAAAAAAGCGGGAGAAGGAGAGAAAGAGACCCATCGCGCGGTGCGACTCGCGGGGAATTACATGGCTTTCGGTAAGCGATGGGGCGTTTAACGATCTATCGACTTCGAAATTCGTCTTTGGTTCTTCCAACCATTCCGCTCGCCCGTATCCGGTAGAGTAGTCCGTGTGTTGCTGCAACGCGGACAAAAAACACGGCGCAACAAAACGGCAGCGAGCCGATCGAATCGAATCGATCGAATCGAATTCATGATTCGAATTCGGCCGCTGGAAAGGTGTCCGGCGTACGATCGACATCAAGGTGCGTAAGACGCAGGTGGAATTGCCCGTGTTTTAATATATCGCGCTAACGCTTTTTTTTGAGCGGTGAACTCGGACGAGCGAACGAACGGAATTTGCGAAAAATCGAGCGGAAAAGAAATGAAGCGATCGAGCGTTACGGCGAGTACGGTGGAACGAGATAGATCGAGCATGTATTTAACTGCACGTGGAAGTGGTACTCGCTTAGATTGCCGATCTGATATTAGCCTTAAGTAGATGAGCGCGGTGTGATTTATAACGCGGGTACCTTAATTGTCTTAATTATGCGGCCGCCGCTTCCGTGGAAAGCGCGGCACCGACTCCGCGCGCAATCGACCTCGATGTAATTTAACGTGAGCGTTTTCTCGCGATTCCTACCACACCTGACAGTTCCTGCGCGCCCATTACGATAAACTCTTACGATAATACCAACCATAATTCCCCATTAAAATCGATGAGCGCGAGAGGTCCCTCCATTGTGTGTGTCGTGCCAAAACTTCCTCCATCCACGGAAACAAATGGAACGGATATGAATATCGTTTCTCCCAAGCGCAATTACGGTTATTAATTTATATTCGCGTATATTCGCATGCGGTAAGGAAATAAGGCACGCTGTTAGAAAACAGGCTGCGTTTCGCCATTCGCAAATTTATTTGGCACACGCGACAAATTGGACAGAGTTGAACGCGACGTTAATTAGTTTGTTTCTCGAATCGCGTTACCATTGACGTTACCGAGTTCCGCTATTTTCTTTTTCTTTTTTTCTTCCGTCACTAAGCTCGCTCGTTATTGGCAGAACGATGATTACACTGTAACACAAATATTTGCCATTCGTGTTTCACGTTCAGGGAGAGATGGATGGAAATGACGGCATGGTAAGAGCGTTTCGAGCAGAAGGAGAGGAGAAGATGTAGACTAGGTGCGTGGTCTGCCATGCGAATATCGCGTGTGTGCCATCCTGACCCTATCTACTTGTACGCCACATTAAATCGGTACACATTGTAGAATTCCTTATGATGCCTTCCTGTCGACGTCTTGTCAACACA